CTCCTGATGTACTTACTGCTGGGTAGCACACATAAGCCTTAGGCATACATTAACTTGTCTTCAGCCTTCCCTGCTTTCCTTTTCTGCCAGTTCTTCTGTTACTTTAAATATTTTATTTAATCTGTCCCATACTCTGTCAGTCTACAACTTCGTATGCGGAGACATCCCAATCCTTGCTCTTTTCTTGATATTAAAATCAGTATCTTCTAGATACACTTTTTAGCCTCTTCCCTTATATCAGTTAAAACCAAATCCAGAATTGCAGTGTTTAGCTTTCCACCTGTCTTAGCACCATTTCTTCTGAGCTCATTTCCATCCTATTAACTGCAGGACGAGGGGAAATGGTTTTAAGTTGAGGGAGGGGAGATTTAGGTTGGACGTCGGGGAAATTCTTTACAGAGAGAGTGGTGAGGTGCTGGGACAGGCTGCTCAGAGAGGTTGTGGATGCCCCGTCCCTGGAAGTGTTCAAGGCCAGGTTGGATGGGGCCCTGGGCAGCCTGGTCTAGCATTAGGTGGGAAGGTTGGTGGCCCTGCGTGTGGCAGGGGGGTTGGAGATTCATGATCCTTGAGGTCCCTTCCAACCCTGGCAATTCTGTGATTCTGTGTCTCTACTTGTTACTGCATTGCCAAGACTGCTTTTTTTTTTCCCCTAAACATAACTTCCTAGTGCCTAGATATTCTTTTCTTCACTTCTCAGATTTTTCTCAGTGTTTTTCCTAACACTTTCTTGTATCGGAACTCCTGCAGATGGGGCAGTGGCATGAATTTCTTGAGGTGCCTGTCATCTGCCAGCATTGTGCTGGATGACTGCTATCTGTTTGGCTCCTCTTTAACCTCAGACCTGTTACTGACAATCCAGAGAGTAAAGGTTTCATGCACTTTCTCTTCTGTGAAAGCTTATACCAAATGCTGGAATCATGTTCTGCTTTGTGACTGAACACGAATGCTTTTGTTACTCCTTTTCAAAAGTGGAGATGCATTCAACAATTCTCTCCTTTTTCCTTACTTGATGTTAGTCACCTGCTGCCATTTGCTTCATGGATTACTTGGTGTTAATGAGTTTATTTCTAGTAGAGAATAGTTTCTCCTTCCTTCTGTTGTGCTTAAGGGATTCTTCCTTGCAGATTTAGGGAAAGCTTTACTAGATTTACAGGGTTTGAATTATTGGAGCTTTGATAATGTGAACAATCACGTGTCATGTACTTTTTAGTTCAAAAGGCTTAAAAGCAACATGTAGTATCAACTTTAAAAAGTCTCATCGCTTCATCCCAAGTGCTTCTTGTTGTCAGCTTGAAATTTAATTGCTAATACTAAAATGCCACCAAAAATGTCACTGATATAACAGTAAAAACAGATCTTGCATATTTTCTGAGATGTGGATATGAGGCATCGTGACTACAATTTCTGTGAGCAGAAAAAGAAATATTTTCCTCAGTAGAGGATTGAGTGAAGAACAGAGAGGTCAATTTGAAAACCTTTCATTTTGTGTGATTACAGCCATGCTGCAAATGCCGTTTCAGTGTAAGAGAGGCCTTTAAAACATACCTTACTTTTTGATTTGTGCTGCAGGTCAGATTAGCTAAAATGGTTATTGTGTCCCCCTAGAGATTCCTGCTTGCTGCAAGACCAGACTTTAAACCCTATTTTTATTATTAAAAAGGCCAGCAGCAACAAAGACTATTTTACAAGTTCTGAGACGTTTTCATAGCAATTTGATCTTTATACACAGGTTTTTAGAACTCTTTGTACTGTAATTCTTCGTGTATATAAAAATCAGAAAAGGGGGAGCAGGAGCACTCATCTGCCACTTGCCTGGAGCTTGTCCCCCTCTTCACTCTGATCCTGAGGAATGAATTTGGGGTGGAACGTGCATTTGTCTCGATGTCATAGTGAAACAGCAGCATCTTTCAGTAGATGAAGCAAGTCAGATTGAGGGGGAAACCTGCGTTGTGGGTCAGTGTATGACAGGTTCATTCTGTCTCTCTTGAATTGCCATTATATACTTCTGTCTTGAAGACATAAAAAAACTGTTTTCAAGATACAAGTCTGAATGTGACAGTTTCTATTTATATCCTATTTTATTCAGAGATACCAACATCAAAAGAAAACAGCCCCACCATGAGAAACAATGCTAGATGTATTTGCCTTGTATTTCAGTACGGTGTATATACTAGTCTTAATGCCTTTTGCATATTGCAGTGATGTTTCTGCCCTAATTTGTGTGCTACGAATATGCCAGTTAAAAAAGATTTGACTCAGTCTTTGCCTCTTGCTCTTTCCTAATTTTGTTTAGGAAAATGCAACAATAGCTAGCCAGTCAGTATCCTCAGCTGTCCTTTGATGTTATCTTCACCATTTTCTTATCCCCATCCTTTAACTGCTTGCACAATGTTTGGGCATTAATGTTACACTTTTAAAGGGAACGGAACTTGTTGAAATGACGATTTTGCTGGCTTTGCTGTAGTTTGGATGATTGGCTGTATTTCTGAATGGGAATCCGTTGAGTACATTACAAAACTGAATGTTTAAATTTGTTTGTCTTAATTATGATATCAAAAAGAAGTTTGAGATGTCTAGAATGCAACAAGATGGCAATTTCCTTTTTTTGGTGTTGATTCTCTTGCTCTGAAGCTTTTGTCTGATTCTGGCTGATTGAATGATCCGACTAGTTATGGAGTGAAGAAGTTACTGCAGGCACAGATTATAGTGCATAGGTGTTTCCAACATCATCTTGGGACTGCTTGGTGAGAGATCCATCAGCTCTGAAACATTTTATACAGCAAGGCCAGCTGGAGGTAGCCTTGGACAAGGTGGGGCACTAGCACTTCTCAAATTTAAGGGATACATAAAACCTTACAGTCCCTAAAAACATTCTTGTAAACAGAGAGGTATAACTTGAAGAAAAAAAATGCTTTGAGGGGAAGATATTAAGCACACAGAACTACGTTAATTTTGATGAATAAAGTTGTAAATGTTTACACTGAAAAGAAGAGCAAGAATAGCATGTGGTAAGTGAATGATGGTATCTAGTGTTGCAGAAGTACTGCTACTTTTCTGCAAGCAAAAGCCTAAAAACTGTGATCAGTGCTGATTTGTAAACTCTGCTGTTTGCATAACTGAATCATTTGTCTCATTCTTGCACAAGAAAAAAGGCAACTACTCATAGCAAAGTCTTCATACCCCGATTTCTGTTGAAAAATCTTGAGAATGTGTGTTTTTTTGAGCTTTAAATGGAAAGATGTTCGTTTAGGAATCACTCACTGAAGTACCTTTTTTTCTTTTTTCTTTCTTTTTAATAGCCTAGCTAATTCAATGCTTGATGTGAAGCTGCCAGCATCAGTAAAATAAGAACAAGTCTGTCTATCTTAAGTAAAATGGTAGAAAAAATGACATTAAAGCAAAATTACAAAAGGGGAAAAAAACTATCCTTTGCTACTGCAACAAACAAACAACAGCAACAGTATTTCTTTATTGCAGATTCTGATTTAAGTAGTAGTAGCAAGTGGAGGAGGTAATTAACGTAGGAGCGACAAGCTCAGGTGGTCTTTCAAGTTGATTTTTTTCTTCAAGTGAAATCTCAGCTGAAAAGTGAGAAAAAATAAAAGGAAACAGTGTATTTCAGGCTTAATAAGTGAGATAACTGTACTGACTGAATGAGGAATTCCGGTGAATTTTTTAAGGACTGGGGGGGAGGAAGGGAGGAGAACTCAATAATTTGCTGCCATGCTGTGGCTGTGTGTTCTTTTCTAAAAACACTGCATGCACACACATGCAGAGAACTCTGGTCCAAACAGATTTTGTAAGTTCTGAGAGCAGGGAGAGTGCTGGCTGAGGTGCTGTTGCAGTTGCATGTCAGATAATCCAAAGACTGGCATCAAACCTAGAAGTTTGTGTTGAAGGACAAACTCAGCCTGATGAAATAGAGAAGTTGTGTTTTCTTCAGGGAGAATTCTCCCTTCTGCCTGTGCTCCCAGCTGGACAGTTGAAACATCTGAAAGCAGTGTAGTTGTATTAGCAAAGGGGCAATCCAAGCTAGCAGGTCTGTCACCAGGCTTGCCTGGGTTGAGCTCCAGAACAGCTGGCATCTATTGAACAGAGCAAAATAGTATGTATCTTTAAGTGTGGACGTATGCCTTTCTTCTTCCTTCTCTCCTTCCTTCTCTGTTCCAGAAGCTATTTCCTATCCTCAGACATGTAAAAGAAAGGGAAGTCTTGCTTTTTTACTTGAGGTTAATAAAAATATTGTTGAAGAGATTTGCTGGCTACTTGATCTGGCTTTAAATAAATAATCCCATCTTAAGTCTGTGTAACTCAGGCAGAGGTTGTCTATAAAAATGTCTTTGCATTGAGGGATTTTGGAGGTGAATGAAAACCAAATATATGCCAACAAATCTACATCTCTAACTTGCATGATATATTTGGAGATTCAAATACTATCAGGGGAGGGCAGGAGAAAACATTAGTGAACTGAAAGCATCCTATTTATCTGAATAATGAGATATTTCAGAGTGGTTACATCAAGTTTATGGTTGGGGTAAAACAGCTTAAAGAGTTCTAGTCTTACAGTTGTGAATTGATATTGGGATCTAGGCATATTCTTATTCTGTAGAGCTCAGTAACTTCAACTTATAATGCAGTCACATACATCACTTCTGACGAAATGTTCTCTGCTAATCAGCAGTGGTTTCTGATGTAAGGAACCAGCAGAGAGGCTCCTGTTGTGACCCCGTTGTCTGTTACAGTACAGTCTCCATAGAAAACGTTATTTATGCAATACTGCCTGTAGGACTGTTAACATTTCAGGAACAACTTATTGGAATTTGTCAAGAGTGTCCAGAAAGACAGGAAATGATGCTGTCAAATATGTTGTTGCAGTAAGCATTTACTTACATATTACAGAACTGTCTGAAACAATGATTTAAAAAAAAACAAACAAAAAACACTAGCCTTTTAGGATACTGTGTACTGTATTTAATGTAGGTGTTTTCTTTTTGAATTAGATGCAACAGTTGGAATTAGCACAAATGCAACAAAGAGAAGCTAACCTCACAGCTTTGGCAGCCATTGGACCAAGGAAGAAGAGACCACTGGATTCATCAAATGCTGGATCTGGGATAGAGGTACTGAGATGGTTTGCAATGACTTGCATGATGATGTTGTGTCTTCATACTGAACTATTTTCATTCTTCCCTGTAGGAAGAAATTTCTACAGGGAAAACGAATTCTCTTTTTACAGAATGATTGGTTACCTACAGTAAGGAAACCAGTCCATGTGTTAGATACTTGCAAGGGTTGCTTCTGGTAAATTTAATGGCATGTTTGTGTGTTATATCAAGAACTATGAAGAATGTTGTGTGTTGACTGAATCGAGTGGTGGCTCAGAGAAATTTCTGGAGGATAATACTACTGTAGTAGTCTTTCGTGGCAGCTAATTGTCATGGTCCACCAGTCGAACTCGTGGTAGCTTTGGATGGCTTTTTGAAATGAATTTGGCATTTGATTGTGCACTTCTTTCTATGTGCAGTGCATAGGGATTCTTTTTCACTATGCTCTGAATTTGTCTTGGCTGAATCACCAAAAGAAAACCACCATAAATAAATACATAAAGCTAGACCATTCTCTTCCTGCAGTGAGTCACATCTCTTTTTCTGTCTCATCCAGCACTTTAAAAATGCCTTGAAGGTGCTTTTAACAGACCTTGGTCTGAACATATCTCTTAATGTTCTGCTGGAGATTAACTGTTTCCAAAACCTGGAAACAGTTAATGAGGCTGCTGAAGTTCTTTCCAAGAAGACTGACAGCCTGCTTCTGTTAGAAATCATCATCTTGGCTGAAAATGGGAGAAGGGTATTGCCAGCTGCATTGCAAATGTTGCCAGATTTGCCATTCTTTCTCACGAAGCCTCAATGCTGTATGAGTGAATGGCTGCTTGGCCTGTCACCTAAGCACAATGAGCAGAAGCCCCAGGAAGTAACTTGTGGTGGAAGTAGTGCTTTTCCTGTCTGATAAACCTTAAGGCTTTTTTTCTATTTGTGTCCTCAGAAGCTTAACTATATGCTTGAGTGAAAATACTCTCACATTTTTGTATGCTGTAATCTGGGAGGACCCTTGTATAAAGCTCAACTGATATTTGCAACATGACTTGAGACAGTAGTGGTATTTGTCCTGTCAGTTTTCTTTCAGCCTGACAAAAGACCTCTCTGAGGAGGTGGGGTAAACTTCTTCCTTTCTTTGTTGTTTTTTTTGTTGTTGTTCTGTTGTGGAGTCAGACACACAAGTCTTTAAAGGCTCACTATTTACTGCAAGTAAAGGGAAGGAACTGGTATCTAAACAAACTATAGAAAACAACATGATAAACTTTTGAGTAGCTACTCCTCACTTTTCTCCTGTTTTTTAATGCACATACTCATGAAGCTGGAAGCACAGGCTATTTTTTTTATAATACTCCTGGAAAGATTTGGAAAAAAGAGTTCAACATGAGAACTTTTCCCCCTCCTTTTCTCTTTTTTCCCAAGCTTCTATCAAATAACTGTTCCTCTTCTTCATAATGGTTTCCTACAATTATTGCCAGATTTATTTCTGAATATTTAACAAGTCTGCCTGTTGGGTGCTTTTCAGTTATCTCTCATCAGCTGCAATGTATCAGTTTTATTAAAAGCTTTACAGGATCGTGCCAAAATGAGAGGAAAAGTGTTGGTGTTATAAGGTGGCAATCCATTATTTACATTGTCATTTTTAAAAAAGAACGTGCAGACTGTGTCTAAAGCTCACCATAAACATTATCACAAATGTATCTGCTATTTTTAAGATGTTTCTCTCACAGATTGCCTTACTAATTACTGAGTTGTAAGGGAAGAAGGGGAAAGTAATTCTGCTAATGAAGCTACTTTTGTTCTCACATGCATTCCAATGCCTAGTACTTAAGCTTCATGCTATCAGAAAGCAATTCTCTGATTCTCTGGAGTTTTTTTTTCTTGTGAAAAAAATTGAAATTATGCAGAATGACAAACTTGTGAAGGCTCTTTATATTTAAGCATTTAAGTGTCCCAGTATATCCAAACAAATTTATAAAAGGCTTAAGACTTCCCATATAGAATAAAAAATGGTTTAGACAAACACTATATTTCAAGAAGCAGAACATTTGTAATACGTTCATGATAACATGGCAAAATATTCTGAGCAGTAAACAACATTCCATTCTTCAAAGATGAAAGGAGGTTTTGAAACTGAAAGCAAGTACAATTGGCCTTAGGCTGATACACATTTGGGCATCTTTAAAATCATTTTTTCGGGCAACCTGTCTGAGAATAATTTAAACAGGCAGGATGTACTTTCTCATTTCAAATTGCAAATACAGACAGCTTCACTCACAAATAATATTAAATGTCAGAACTTCCCGACTGTGCAATGTCAAAAAGTAAATCTGTGCATAATACTCCTGTGACCATTTTTTAAGCCTAATATCTTGACAGACAGGCATGATGGAAGGAATTATTCCTGAATATGAGTGATCCTTTGATAGTATTGAATGAAATCACTGATGTTTTTTTAACAGAGACTTCTTCAACTTGCCTAATGTTCTTTGTGCAAAGTCTGTATCTCTTTAGTCTCTGCTACAGCAAAGTTGTGCATTCAGCTTTTTTAATCATTGCCTACTGTAGTAATTAAAGGAAATGAATTCTTTCAAGCTGTTATTGATGTAAACTGAAGCCCTGAGGTATTTGGAGAGACAGGGAAGAAATAATCAGTTACACTGTTGAAAAAGTGAAATACTGCAAGCAAATTTCATATATACCTTTATCCCTTACCAAAAAGTAATGGATACTGAAAGAGTGCAGCTTAAAAAACTTGGTTGGAATTGGTTTTGATATCTTCTGGTGTAGTAACAGTAAGTGTGAAGGGTGTGAAACAGCATTTCGTTAGTAGACTGTTTCTCCTTAAATGAATGTTTTATTTGAGATGGTTCCTCTGCTCAAAGTATCTGCTTCTTTCACACTCAACCACTGGGCTTTGTACTTCTTCTGGAAAGTCCTTTTTCCTGGGGTATTTGAATCTCTGGTTATTACTTGTTCACCATACCTTATTCTCTTAAATCATGATTTCTTTACTTAAGTAGACCTGCTATGGATTGTTTTAATTCAGGACCTAAAATGTGATGGAGCACAAGCATGTACTTTACAATTAAAAGTGCTTAACAGCAGGCACATCACTTCGCAGTGTGGCAGGTAACAAATGAACGTAAATCCTGCTCAGATGCTCCTGCCCAGAGGAGTTTTTCTCAACTAATTTGGACCTAAAAGCATTATAAAAGGGGTAAATTGTATCCTGCCCTGTTTATTTATTTTTTACACATTGCTGCACTTGAAACAATATTAGGGGCAAATCTATGAAGATCACAAAATTAAAAAGTCAGGTCCAGGAAAAATAACAATTTATTGGAAATTCTGTAATTTTCTTGTTTCAAACACTACTTGGGGGTAGTTTTTCATGTTAATTTTATTTTGCACTTTGACTTTATTGCAACTTGACACTTGAATGTTGTTCAGGAATAACAATTTCAGAAGATCCTGGTCAGAAAATCCATCTATTGTGGTAATTGATGCTACTGGTATTTCAGAAGTGGTAATATCTTCATCTCTCATTCTGGCCCTTATTCTGGGTACAAAAGTGTGAGAAAGTCTTTTAGATTTGATTCATGCGTGCTTTGGGGTTTGTGTATTTGTTACCTCTTTATGCTTCCCCATCTTGGGGGTATGTGGGGAATACTAATGAATTAGAGTAGGAAGACTTGAGACGTAACTTATCTTGAAGAAAGGGAGGCCACTTCTTGTAAAAACAAAGTCATAGATTTATTTTCCTGATTTCAGGTGCTGTTTTGTGGCTTTTTTATTAATTAGTAGCATACACTGTGATGTTCTCAATATTAAGAAATAGTCAAGATTATTTTTGATTTAATTTTGCTGCATTTCTGATGTCAAAGTCATTCAGAAAATGGTTTTGTCTAGTTCTCACTATAGCTGTAGTCTTAGAAGTTTGAAAACCCATCTAGATTACTTCCTTTTTTTTTCCTGAGGAATCAGGCTGCAGTTCTGACTCTGTAAGCTTTTTTTTTTTTTTTCCTTCAACTGAAAGTGTTACAGTTCATAACTTGTCTTCCATCGTGAACTAAGAGCAGTGGTTTCTGTGCATTATCACACAGTAGGGAAGAAAAAAAACTATTTTTTGAAAGTGGGGAGACTGAATGTTACTCTTTTGATCAGCATGAAAAAAAAAAAAATTGGTTGGACCATTCTTTTACTTTACGTAGTAGAACTTTCTTGAATGCCTGCATGTCAATGTAACTTTTTGGGAGAGTGCTTTTTTCCTCTTCTGTTTTCTAGCTTAATGATAATTAATGATAATGTAGCAACCGTTGGGAAGTGTTGAGGTTTGCCTTGCCCCAGAGTGCTATTGTGTTGTATCCTTCAATCACCTTCTCCCAGGCTGGTCACATTGGGGTACTGTTGCAGAAGCAAATGGCAAGGCTGAAATCTTGGGGTCAGTGTATAGGTATTCAGATTCGTTCTCTCTGTAAAACACCTAGCTCTTGTCAACAAGCATGAAATAATATACTTCTGGAGGTGATGCACATCTTCCAGTAGTGCAGTGCACAACTAAGTTGGCATTTTCTTTCTGGAAAGAAATTTGGCAAGAAGAAATGGGAGAAATAGATATTCTATGCTGGTCACTATTCCGTTTTTAATATTGAATGTGAATGGAGAAAGCAAGCTTGTTGTCTCCTCTTTTAGGGCAAGCTCTGTGCCACATCCAATCATTGTTAGCAGAACTTAAATTTACTCTGCTTGTTTTACAGATTAGGATGCCAGTATGCATGTGGATCAAACATATTCTGTAAATGGTGCATGTTTAAGCTTTGGAGATATTCTTTGGGCTGACCCAGGAAGATCTAAGCCATTGAGCAACAAGTCCTTTCTTGCAAAATGAAGGAAAACCAAATGATTGAGGAAGAGAGAGTTTGTTTTCCCACAGTGTGACAATCAAATTACCATGTTGGTTTGGTTTTTTTATGTTTGAGAAAGGAATGCGTGGCAGTCAAGGGAAGGGGCATGTGGCTTCACAC